CAAGTTACTGCTACAACTGTAGGAACCCTGGAGACATCTCTCAGGTGGAGAATCATTTACAAACTCCTCACTGCTTCAACTCTGAATTATTTAGACAGAGACGTTTTTTTCATTGCTTTAATTTGAATCAAAAGCCCAGTATTTGAAATCGCTTAGTCAAATAGACAATATGCTGCTCGTCTGACAGCCTGAAGCACTGCAGCAGCCTCTGTGTACAATCCTCTTATTATCCAGCATCACTTCCCTCTGTTCTGTCATCAGATGAATTATTCTGTTTGTTCTGGGATTGGTTTTCTAATCTAAGTGTTTTCAGAGCTCTGCCACTGAAAACCTGTTTTCTGACACGATGCAGTGCTTTTATAATGAGATCTGTGCCGTTCCTTTGCTTTGCATCAGAACCACTGTAACTTGTTTGCTTAAATGTGAACAAAACAACAGATAACAGCAACAATTTGCTGTTTTGTGAACTACAAGCAGACTGATGTAGAGATRTCTGCAAGTCGGTCTCAGTTGCCTGGAAACAGGAACCATGTACAGAGTCTGTAGTTCCTCTGCTTCTAATATTCATGCAGAAAAAAGTTGCCTCACCTTCAGWCTGCAGCTCCACAGACATCCAAACACTTTGAGTGATAAAAACCATCCTGGTGATTGATTTCAGTTTTTTTTTTTCATGTAAGGAAAAAAATCTACAAATAGTGTTAAAACCATCAGTAATAATTATTAAACCTTCTCTGTGTGAAGTCATGAAGACACACGTGACTTAAGGTTCTACAGGGTTTTTTGGCAGGTGTTTTGTTTACATTGAGTGCAGACCTGCATTTCAGAAGTGCATTAAAGGGGACATGTCCTGCAAAATCCACTTTTTTAGCTGTTAAATACATTTGGTTGTTCACTTGGAGTAGGACTGCACGATATTAGAAAATCTTGCAATTGCAATAATTTTTGTAAATATTGCAATGACGATAACGGGTTCGATATGTCTTTTTTTCCTGCCTTTTTAATTTTTACTTCTCTGTGTAACATTTAGCATTTTTGACGGTGTCATTTGTGTAGGGCTGCTCAATATATCGCAAATTTATCATCATCGCAGTAGCAGCCTGTGCAATAAGCATATCGCAAAAAGTGCCTAAATTGCAATAAATGGTTGGCGCTGATGTTTGTATTTATGTGTTTTGTCAGCATCAGTCTGAACAAAATGGACTGGAGATGCCACATCATATCATAACTAGGGGTGTAAGAAAATATTGATACACTGAAATATCGCGATATTTCA